CTCTCTCTCTCTCTCTCTCTCTCCTCTCTCACACACACACACACACACACACACACACACACACACACACACACACACACACACACACACACACACACACACACACACACACACACACACACACACACACACACACACACACACACACACACACACACACACACACACACACACACGCAATGTGTATGTTAGTCATTTAGGTTTATAGTAATAATACAAGGATATACCCACATAAAGCAGTGCGTTCCTGCTCCCCCTATTTCAAATATCCAATCAACATTTTCGTAAATAATTTCACAGCAATTTTTAGGGGTTCGTAGTCCCTGCGTTGTCAGATGAATGATGGTTCTATAAAAAACAAAAAAACTTCCGAGCAAAATACACACTTTCCGATTCACGAAATTAAATAATCTCATTAAAAGTAAATAGAATAGGAGAGAAATAATGACACAGGTAAAAAAAAAAAATCCTGATGTGAATTACATGGAGCCACATAAAAGATACAAAGCCAAAACTTGAAGGCAACTCAGCATTCGCAGAAAGTAAACATTGGAGGAAGATACGAAAGACGTTTCCTCATTTGGAATCATGCATTTTGTGGTTGCAAACATCCCAGAAGTATTCCGAACACCAGATTTACGTAATTATTTCTCGCTGTTCATAGAAAAAGAAGCATTTATCTGCTTCCACTTCCGACACCGTCCCTGTAAACAGTTTCGAGAACTCCTTCTCTCCATCAGTCACAGTCAAAATGAAAGCGAAACAGATATCCAAAGTGCGTCGAGTAAGGTTAAGGAAAAGGAAAATACTCCAGATGAAGATGAGACTATGCCAGTGAATGAGTCAGACACCACCGATGCAAATGACAGACCAAACGCAACTCACTGGCTCTCCTCAGGTCTCTCTGGTCTCTCTTCATTAATCAATGAAAAAAAGAAAAAGGCGCAGGAATCAAAAAGTGGGTTCGAAAAGATGGGAATTGATAAATCTTTGGAACTGGGATCTGGTATACATAAAGAAGAAATTACAAAAGAAACAGCAGGGCACAGTCCAGCAGAAATCTCAAGTATATTAAAAGTGTTGGAAGTCCTTGAGTGTGCAAAGGGAACATGTTCTGTCGTAAATGTTAAAGACTCAAAAGCTAAAGGTTTTATGGAGTTTTACAATAATAAGCATTTTGTGGACAGAGACGGTAATGTTCATCCTTTGAAGTGCCTTATTCACAGATTGGATTTAAACAAAAATGTACTGAAAGGTATGTAAGATAGAGTTTATTTTCTCCAGTTTGATAAATAACCATATCACTGTCATAATAGTTCCAGTATCATTTAACATTTAAAGCAGTTCCAGCATCTTTTTCGTTAGGTCAACTAAATCAGGCTGCTAATAGAAAATAAGAAATGTTGCACCACTGCTGTGTTTTTTATATGAAAAAGTCCATATTTGCAGACATTTTATTTTTTGTTAAGACAGAGATTTTCCCCGAAACTGCATTAGTGAAAATAAATGATAGCTGAAGTTATTCATAGTTAGCTTCTGGTTGAACTGTAAGGCTTCTATTTATATCATTTATTATATCACTTATGGTAACGGAATAAATTTTTTATGAGTAAAGTTCTACTTCTTTTCTCATGAATTTATGTTTAACTTAGAACAAATTTTTCAACTTTGAAGAACAAATAAATTGCAGTTTATACACCTATCACAACCTTTAGTAATATAGTATAAATTGAAGAGAAATATTTTCATACTTTTTTGTGCAAAAAAAAAGTGTAAAAAAAAATTCATATTAAAAGAAAATCTATCTATCTATCTATCAATCTATATACACATATGTATGTATGGATATGCCAGACTCTAGAGTTTGGTCAAATTCTGTCTGCGTAAATGTAGTTCTCGGGTTACTTTCCGCGCACGCTTAGTTCTCTTTTAAGTCATCTTCCGTGCATAAAATTCTTTTGACCTTTCCGCACACTTGTTTCATTATCTGTCCGTAGATCCGTCTGCGCAGCTGTAGACTAAATGATGTTTTCCGTGCATGAAAAAATGTAATATTCACCGCGCAAGAAAAATGCCCTACAGTCTGGTGTATACATTTGAATAAATAACCTCTCCGATCAGGACTCGAACCCTCTTCATCGCAGGCAGGTAACTACAAGATGGACGCTCTACCACTGAGTCAGACATCGTGTAGCTCAGTGATAGAGTGTCTGTTTTGCAGTTACCTGCCTGCAATTACGAGGGAGTCCCAATCGGAGAGGTTATTTATTCATCATATCAGTGCGGTAGTGCATTATTCCATCTTTCATGGATATGTATATATATTTTGCATACATTTTTGTGTACAAAAAGAAAGTGTTAAAAAAAAAAAAAAAAAAATAAGTTTTCAATTTTTCACAACAGAAGATGATTACATGACTAGGAAGGAGCGTAATTCCAAGCGACTCAACTGCACGACAGCAGTTGACCTGATAGAATTCCATCCACCCCCTCTCATGCCTCAGGGAAACATTGGCACACCAACCATGCACTTCCAGTCCCTTATCAGGTCGTGTGAGTTGCCAGGATCCATTATCAAAAAACTCGGGCTAGTATTTCCACGGAGCAAGTAAGTGCTTTGGATTTTTTGTGTTTGTTATTGTTATCATAGATAGATTTTATCAGTACTGGGATTGCTAATTTCATTGTTATTGTTATTTTTTCATGTCGTTATTGTTTAATAATTTTTGTTATCAATATTACTATTATCATTGACATCGTTATCATTATTGATATTAGAGTTGTTTTTGTTTATTGATATTATTAGTATTATAATCATGATATATGTATTTTTTTTAGATTATTGATTGCATTTTTTTTTTTTTTTTACCTTTGTTATTGTTATGCAGATTTTCATTACTTTAATCAGCTGCTGCTAATTTTATTCCAATTGCTTTCAACAGAGGCAAAAAGAAATATGGACAAGTACCCTTTAACTATGGCACTGAAGTCATCAAACCCAAGAACTCAACTGATACAGGAGATGGTGTGGCATTCACTGCATCAGGTCATCTGATACCATCATCTGCTGATTTTACAAAAGTGATGAAGAAACTAGGTCAGAGAAAGAGAAGTCGTCAGCCGCAACTGGAACTGCAAGAGGAAGAGGAGGTCTTTGATTTTATTGTTTTCTTTTCATTTTACTTTTGCCTTTATCTTATCCTTTTTATCTGTTTTGTCTTTTCATTCCCTTTAATCTCTTCCATTTTTTCATTTTACATTTAGACTTTTCCTGCTTCTCTTTTTCTATAACGTATATTTCCTCTTGAATTAGTTTTTTTCCCTTGTTATCTGTAAACCCAAGAAGCCACTCAAAGTTGTATTGCATATTCAGATCACTTTTCTTATCTGGGCTCATTAAATCTTTGAGGATTTTATAATAAAACACTGAAATTTAACATAACCCCATCTGTATGAATAAATTTTCTCATGCAAATATTTATGTAATACTAGGATGGAGCAGAGGTAGAGGAGTGGGAGAGGTATGAGACCTACCACAATGATGTAACCAGCCAAGACCGCACCAAGGAGCGACTCTATGAAAAGGAAATAGAGGTTAGTCATTTGTCAATAGAAACATTTTAAAAAGAACAGTGAGAGAAAATGGTATAATGGCATTCATGTAATTTTGCAAGTGCTGTGTAGTTAATTTTTCATATTGTTCGATATAGTTAGTTATCACTTTTAGCTCTTTTTAGACTGATGTATGGCATAGGTTATCAATACTAATAATGTGAAATTTCAACCAAAATAGCTGGTGTGGGAGAAAGGAGGGCCAGGACTTGTTTTTTACACCGATGCCCAAGTCTGGAGAGAACAAGAAGGGGACTTCGATGAACAGACTGCTGATGAATGGGATGTTGATATGTCTGTCTATTATGATAAAGGTAATGCCACAGATTTAGGTATTTTTATCCTATAAAATGAAGTAGGAAACTGGTCCTTCTTTTATTTGTGTAATTCTGTAGTTTATTATAGAAAAAGTTTGATATGTATATATGATTTATCAGTTGATTTGCTATTTTGATGATACAATTAATTGTGATATAGGTGAACAGTTACCCCATATCTTTTTCTCTGTGAAACTATATCTAAAATATCCCAGCCCCATATCTTTTATTTACTACTTCCTCCATTTTCCTTCTTTATATTTCCCCTCTTTCCGTCCCATAAAATTAATTAATTCCATTTACTTCAGGCGCTGGGGACAAAGATGCACAAGACAGTGTGGGGATGGTTCAGAGTGACCAGCTTCGTTCCGGCCATCTTGCAGAGTCTGCTTTTAAGGCTCCAGCAGACCCTCCCAAGGAGAGAGAGGGAAAACTGCCATCAAAAGGAAGGAAGAAAGGTGTGAAAGCTTTTCATTTCGCTATATATGATTGCTTTAATAGATATTGATAAAAGTGGAATGAAAAATTCTCTTACTTTGCTGTATCATTTGAATAAGAAAAATGTATGTTTAGAGCAGCTCTGTAATATAATAGTGACAACTTGAATACTCTTATCAGTCTTTATTACCCAGAAATAGTTTACTAATAATCAATTAATTACAAATATGAGCAGTGCAGCATTAAGGGATACTCCCAATATCAACAAAACTGTTGGAGAAATTACCATTTTTCTTTCACAGGTCCTAAACCAGCACCAAAGATTGGAGAGTTTGAAGCTCACACTCGTGGCTTTGGTAGGCGTTTGATGGAAGCGCAAGGTTGGAAGGAAGGCAAAGGGTTGGGGCGCAACTCTGCAGGACTCCCCTATGCTATTGATAGTGATGGGCAACATCCACGTAACAAAAAAGGCCTAGGGTAAGATGTTGGGGTGGTTGCAACATAATATAATAAACACTTTATTTCATCATGTATTCAGACATATTCTATTTTATTTTATCCTTAGGAACTAATTGTTTCCTAAGGACATCTGCCCTCCAGCTTATAGAACCTATTTAATTTGAGTTTCTCTTTAAAGGAGTTGCTTGATCATTCAAAAGAGTTTAAGTCATATAATCTACCTGATGTATTTCTAGCAGGTTTGCAACTGTACATAGCTATTTAGGAATGGATGTGATAGAACTGGACCATACTCTCATCTCTCCCTACATTTTTCTTTGTAGATATTATGGGGAAAAGCTACAAGGCTGGGGGGGTAGAAATTCTACCTCCACCTCCACTGCTACCCGTCGACAGAAGCAGAGACGCACAGAAGGACCAGAGCCCCCAAGAAACAGCAAGTATCCACGGCAAGGCGTGCTTACTCCTGGACCAGCTCCAGAGACTGAAGGCCACGATGTGCACATTTCCACTGTTTTTGACCGGCCACAGGAAGAGGACCCCCCTGCACCACCTCTTCGAACACAAGAACCTACAACACTCTCATACCGCCAGAACTATGTCACTTTTACAAAAGGTTCAGAAGATTCCGATTAACAATGAACATGAAAGTGAACTGTGATGAGCAAGGATGAAATAGATAGGAAAATGTTTCTATATGATTTTTTTTATTTATTATGGATGATGATATATTTTATTCTTTGGAAGAAAGATAATATAGATAGGAATATGTTGCTATAGGATTTTATATTGTTATTTTGAAGAAAGAGAATATAGATAGGAATATGTTGCTATATGATTTTATATTATTATTCTTTTGAAGAGAGATATTATAGACAGGAATATGTTGCTATATGATTTTATAAGTTTAGTGGATATTAATATATTATTACCATTTTTTATAAGGCATTTATTTTATCCTTCATAACATAGTAATCATAGTCTCAATATTAGTAAAAAACTGCATGCAAAATTTCAGGCATTTATTGATTTTGGCCAAAAGTTCCTTTCCCCTGTTCTTTGTGCATCTTCATGGCACTACACCAATAATGGAGGGCTAGTTGATGTTGGCTGAACTTGATTTGCTCTGTGTTACCTTAACATTAGCATGGTTTGAACCAGTGCAACCATCAGCCAGTGCAGATGGACTTAGTCCTAGAAACAACACAATTGCACCATGTTGAACATGTAGATCATAGTGAACATTTTATATGTAGAAAATAATTCCTTGTGATTATTAGCTCAATATGTATCTTTGTATGTAGCTTGCTGTTTATTGCATTATTGTATGCTTGCTGTATACTGAACAAATAATCAAGGAGTACTAATGATAGTGCTTTATGTTCAATATGTTGAAAATATAGAGCATTCAGTACAAAATTCCATCAGGAGCTTCAAGTGACATATTTTAGCAATTGGTTTTTAATTTCTAATGGCCCTATGACATCACTGCTTACATATCAGTCATAGAACATGAGATAGGGAGTGACGAGAACAGAGGATTATAATGTAGAGTGTGGGAGTTATGGAGGCAGAAGGAGCAATGCCCACACAAGCTATCTTAGCCTTTGTCCAGTCTCCAAGTCATCTGTTTGACATTGCAGAGTTTAAGAAGCTTGTTGACTATTGACTAACATGCTTTCAAAAACTATCCACTATCTGCATTCAGTGTCTTTACATAGGGAATCAAATTGGTTCCACATCTTGGTTAAGGGTAACTTGAAGGTACCTTTGATCACCAGTAACTTTATTAACCCAAAATAGCACCAAGTACTTATGCTTCACAGTAGAATGTAGTGTTACCCCATGTAAAGAATATACAGTATGCGTATCTAAGCTACCGCGCGAGATTGGAAACTTTATTTATTACTCATACTTTCACAATCTGTCAAGTGCCACCCAGGAAAATGAGTGGCTCTTGCCTACTACCCCAAGCAGAAAAAGTTCTGGTATTCAAAATTAATGCATAAAACTTATTTTGACACAGATATCTTAACGCATGGTAAAGGTTGTAGAAGTGTCTTCTAGAGCAGTGTTGTCCAAACTGGGTTACGCGTACCCCTGGGGGTATGCAACATAGATCATAGGGGTACGTGAACAAACAAGGAACACACACGCCTCACATCTTGCATTGTTATGTCAGTATTTTTCAAGCATTTTGTTATTAAATCATTTTTTTTATTTGAGTATCAAATTCGAATTTATTGACCAACACTCCTGCAGTGCACTCTTTTCATAGTATATTATTTGCATTATCCTATTAAAACAGTTTGTTTAGCCATGATGAACGGGGGGGGGGGGGGGTACGTAACAGTACAAGAAGGTACTAAAGGGTACAGTAAGTGAAAACTTTTGGACAACACTGTTCTAGAGGTCTGATGATCTCAAGACGAGTAACTAGGATGCTAGACAGATACCCTACAAGATAGGACTGATTCAAAAAGGTGAATGACAAGACAGCCAACAAATCGTCTGCCGGCCATTGTTTAGCAGTACTATTCTACAGATAGCATGGTTATTTCATTTGAGGGATTTTATCTTGTGGTCAGAAATAGTGCAGGGACAGGGAACAACTATACTTGTATAATAGCATAGGCGTGGAGCTGGATAGTGGAAAGGCATTTTAAACTTTTTTTTTTTTTTTTTTTTTATTCAGGCGTTCTTGGCTTAACATTTCCGGGTTTGCAGTGTTGCTTATTCGCACAAATGTCTGTACTAAACATCAATCAATCACTGGGGCTAAACATTTCGCGCTTGAAAATATCCCAGAGCGTTGCAGGTTTCACCACGTTGCTGAGTGCTATGAATCCATCAGAGATGGCCCCAGCAAACCACACTTCCTCAGTTTGTCAAGTGAAACGCCTTGGGTTGAACACTGGACCACCGGGGGTTTTGAAGTAGACCCGGAGGGTAGCCACGACCAATCTATGGTCGGCAACACATACCTCGGTCCTCCGGTAGACCCTGAGGTTTTGGAGGGTCTTCCAGCGTGTGATAACAAGGATGCAGTAAGAGTCCTGGGCCACATTACCCGTACTACTATACCATGCCCAGGGATGCAGGTTGAAACGCTGGTACAGGAGCCAGAAATCTTCAGTCTGTTGGACCTCTAGGAGAAGGATACAATTATCAGCTCCCGCGTCATGAGGAAAGACAGATTTATCGTAGCCAAATCGATCACAACCGGATACCGCATTGAGGTCACCCAAGAAAATGCGATTATCTCGCCGAGAACAGGTGTCTGCCACAAATGGAGTTTTGTCTCATTAAAATAGTAATGGGTAAAATCATCATACACTGTGGTAGCAGTAAAGTGGACAGTCTGTTTTTGTTTTTGTTTTCGATTTTTCTTGCCGATTTTGATCAGACTTACACCCTTTTATTTTGGACAAAATTTGCGCCTGTGAGAGTTCCCTCTCCCATAGACAGTGTTTGGAGATATCGGCATTTTGCGTTTTTTTCTTTTCTTTTTCATCTTTTCATGTTTATCTTGGTATTGACAAAATAAAGTATAAGCATATTCTTCCTATAGCATAATCTATCATCTCTCTGCATTCCGAAACATTGCGGAAATTCCCAGCACGTAACAATTTCTCAAAATTTTACGTATGTTGTGGTAGGGTCGCACTTGGCTGGGGTGTGCCGCGGCGTACATTGACCATTTCATTTTTTTTTTCTCTAAAATCACCCCCCCCAAAAAAAAAAAAAAAAAAAAAAAAAATGCAGCCATTCTGATTTCATATTTGAATAGAACAAACCTTCATCTGTTGCATGGCAGTACATTTTTCGAATTCGACCTACTTATTTTTGTGAATATTTCACGTAACCGGCTTTTTGAACACCATAAAAAGGTCTTTTTTTTATATATGTCACCTTTACAAGAAGCACATGAAAATATTACAAAATCTTATTGAAACATGCAGTATTATGAATCATACTATTCAGGTACAAAAAAGCCACAATTCCTCCATTTCGGACTGAAAATGAGTGTGCTACGCGTAAAAGTGTTGAGTACGAAATATATTTTCTTCCTTTTTTACATATGCGACATAGTTGTACTTGACATAATAATCCATCATTTCCCCTCCCTGTTGCTCTAATGGGGATTTACAACATACAATACTGTTCTGAAAAATGATTGTTCTCCACGGCAACGAGTGGCAGGCACGCGACAGAAGGGGCCGCGAGCACAGGATTTTCAGGCGAAGGTCCCAGGCCTTGTAACTCTACGGGACGAAACACCCACCTTTCACACCAACACTTCCGTGAAATTCAGATATGCAAATGCAGGGTGGTGTAAAACTATGTGTATAAGGTATATACGTATATATAGATCGTTTCCGTGAATTCCATGACATTTTATTTACACATATTGTTACTTCCGTTTGTCTGTTTGTTGTTTTTTGTTTGTTATATTTGCAGGATAAAAAAAATATATTTTAATTAGATTTTTACCAGAGGTGTGTTTTAACTTGACGCCATGACATTTTGGTGGGGATCTAGATCCTGATTTAGATCCATGATTTTTTTTCTACAGCAAGCATTGATTTCTAACTCAAAATGTTATAGATAAATTTTAACGACATTTATTTATTTATTTATTTTACCCGAGGTGTGGCTTAGCTTAACGTATATTCCATAAAAAATGGTTTTAGGGATAAACATTTTATATATAAAATTAATATTGCTAACTGATACTTAGATATATTCTCGGTTACCTACAGTATAGATATGCAATGCGCAACATATTGAAGGACTGGACTTTTCTCTACATAAAATTCAGTCTTCCTTTAGATTATTTGCTTGTTGCAGCTAGTTTAGTATGGTTGATTTCTCTATTAGGACATAGTCATAAACTAAGTTACCATAAAATTGTTATATATATATATATATATATATATATATATATATATATATATATATATATATATATATATATATATATATGTATGTATATATATTCATATATATATATATATATATATATATATATATATATATATATATATATATATGTATATATAATATATATATATATATATATATATATATATATATATATATATATATATATATATATATATATATATATATATATATATATATATATAATATATATATATATATATATAATATATATATATATATATATATATATATATATATATATATATATATATATATATATATATATATATATATATATATATATATATATATATATATATATATATATATATATATATATATATATATATGTATGTATATATATATATATATATATATATATAATATATATATATATATATATATATATATATATATATATATTATATATATATATATATATATATATATATATATATATATATATATATATATATATATATATATATATATATATATATATATTATATATATATATATATATATATATATATATATATATATATATATATATATATATATATATATCACATGAATTTTGTTACGTAGTGCAAATGATTGTCACAATGATGTCAAAATCTGATAAGTGTGTTGCAATCTCCAGCGAAGTTTTGGACCGACAACTGGAAGGCTTGTTAAGCCTCGGTTCCGCCCGGCTGCACTTCCACTGCACGGCGTCTCTGGGCAAAATCCACCAAAAACTCACGAGCGACGCAGGTTCCTCTTGCGAAGCTTTGAGCCGGCAGACCGCTCGGAAGCACACGCGACGCCTCTGATCATGCTCAAGACGCTCGTCGCCCTTGCTCCCGACGCCAGGAACTCGCAGGTCAGACATGCGCAGTTTTACTTTTCGTGGAAATGGAACCGTTTGTCCAAGACGCCGCAAGGTGGACGCCACTCGATCGCCTTTACCGCGAGGACGAATAAGACGGACGCTCCACAACGAACGAAATAA